CCAGATTGTCACCCTGTCACCCTGTAATAATCTTCATTTTTCTGTGAATATCGGACGCACCCATATTCTATGACGAACTTTTTCCTGTTGGTACTATCAGTTTCCATATTCCAAACAATTTTAAAATATTATATCGTCTAATTTTCTGTTGTTGAGATTATTTCATTTTCTTCCACTTTTGCCATCACTTCCATATTATTAATAACAACAAGGTCAGGATCTATAATGACTTCTGAATACATTCTCACAGATTAAGTTCACATCTACTTGACTTGTTCGTACACATACTCGTACATAAGTCTTGGTTCTCCATGAAGCGTACTTTTCCAGATACGCAGATTACAAAAACCAATCATAAATTAATTTAGCATTTCTGTTAGAGAGTACAACAGAAACCCTAATCAGCAATTGGTTGTATTAATTACGCATTTCTTGAAATTACGCGAAATACGCTCTATGTAAAAAAAAAGTTTTCAGAATAGTGTAACGTGTTTTAGTAAAATACTAGAATACGCAGATTACGCTTACGCAAGTTACGCCGCATGTGACGGCACTCTTACGCCACTTGGAGAGGCAATCTAAAGAGTCGTCTATAATGGGAGTAATTCGAGTGTGAGGCGAATAATTAACTGTGAGCCTGGATTCTCATGCAGACACCAGGGGGTCAATCATGTAACTTTAAGTGAAATTTTTCACTTTTCATTTTTCACTTTTTATTTTTCATTTTTCACATTTGACATTTCACGTGAAACTTTTCACGTACAGCGATTATGTATGTAACTTGGATGCGTGGAAAGTGAAATCATGAAACATAGTTTCATAGGTTTTATAGCTAATAAAAATTATTTTATTGGTACATTATATACATCTTTTAATAACCAATTGTATATGTATTACGTACACTTAATCCTAACGCAGCCCTAACCTTGTCTAATTCCGAAGCATATTTATTAATTCCCTAGATTCTCACCTTTCCGCCATCAAGATACATGGCGAAAAAGTTTACGTGAAAAATTTCACATTTTCACGTTTGAGAGAGTTACATGATCCCACAAAGTACATGATCGTAAGTCACGTGAAACTTTTCACTTTTCATGTTTCCGCCCTAGGAGAAAAGTTACATGATCGACCCCCAGCGCTTGGAAACAGATGCTGTTTGGTGAAAAATGAGTAATGGGAAAACGGCGAATGATCTTTACTATTTATCTATTATCTGTTTTCACCAAAGCGCTCGATATCAAAGCGCCGATGTCTGCATGAGGATCCTGACTGATTGATCAATTTCTTACGACTTACGATTTACTTTACCATATCGTAGACGACTCTTAAGAAGATCTGTAGAGCATAAACTTTGCAGCTATATTGCGGTAGCCATAATGTTACAATATTGCAGCTACATGCAACAATGTTACTTATTGTGTATTTGTATATAACAATGTTAACTATTGTGTAGCTGCAAGATTTATGCTGTATATGGGAAGGAAGAAATCGTTGCAAATGTCTCGGTTAACGTCTGGCAATACCTGAGAGACATGAAAATATAAAAAGAGTATGTACATATCAAGATGGTAGGAATGCTTTTCCCCTTCACCCTCTGAGATTTCACTCCTCGTGTCTAAAAGAGTACTTTACGGCCGGTATTCATAGTCAGTTGTTATATATTTAAGATCGTCTTAAGATAATATTTCAACAAATAGGATAATTGTATGAGCTTACTTAAAACGATTTTAAATATATAAGAACGAACTACGAATACTGGCCTACGTTTCACCCTGTGATGTGCATTGACAAATAAGCTATGGATCTAACAAAATAGAGCGTCAAGTATTTTATATTTTAGCATTGTTCGTTTTGTCTCTCGGGAGCTGCTCTGAGTCGCTTCGAACGAACCCGGCATACTTAATGGTGTTCTTAGTGTCGGTCCACAATAAGTTTTTAATTTTTAATTAATAAGAAATTGATTAATCATAGTCGATTATTCTTTTCATATTCGATTATAATTGATCAATTTCTTATATCTTAAAGCTTAAATTACCTATTGTAAACCGACACTTATAGACGGAAGTTATATGAGAGACAATTGGGGATCTTCGGGATAAAAACTTGGTTTTGTTCTATTACCAACCGTCAGAGCAGTTGAGAGCTATTCAGGTCCACTCGGAGTTTCCCTGTAATGTTCTCTCGCGAAACAACAGTTTGAGGCGGTTTCATTCGGGTTACAACTTATAGATAACTAAAAGAGCCTTGTTCTTTTTAGTCGAGTGCTTGCATTGTTATCTTTTCTTTTTTTCTCTCCGCGTTAAAGAGAAAAAGAGGAAAAGTGTTCGATAAAAAAAATAAAAATAAATTGTTATTTTTAAGGCGGATAATAATATTACACCAATTGATTGATTATAACACAAAGATATATATCTATGGTAAGTAAGGAACTTGTACAGAGTGGTCTCTTTAATCCCACGGAGAACACGAGTTTCGTGCTCCAAGCTGCAGGGGGCTTCGATCATGTAACTTTTCCCCTAGGGCGGAAACGTGAAAAGTGAAAAATTTCACGTGAACTTACGATCATACGATTTTGCGAGATCATGTAACTCTCTCAAACGTGAAAATGTGAAATTTTTCATGTGAACTTTTTCGTCATGTACCTTGGTGGCGAAAAGGCGGAAATCTAGAAAATTAAATATGCTTCAGAATTAGAGAAGATTAGAATTAAGTTAGGATTAAGTGTACGTAGTACATATACAATTGGTTATTAAAAGATATATATAATACTGTATCAATAAAATAATTTTCATTAGCTAAAATCTATGAAACTATGTTTCATGATTTCACTTTCCACGCATCCAAGCTACATACATAATCGCTGTACGTGAAAAGTTTCACGTGAAATGTCAAGGTGTGAAAAATAAAAAGTAAAAAGTGAAAAATGGAAAGTGAAAAATTTCACGTAAAGTTATATGATTGACCCCCAGAACGGAGTCCCCCACGCATGGAGCAATCACGAGCGCGAGAATTGCTCCGAAATCGCGTAGCGCCAAACATCAGCGTGGCGCTTCTAAGCGCGATCGTTATGAACATACATAACATAAATAAATTTTTATAAGTAAATTTTGTAAATTTTGTAATTTTTTTTTTATAATTGCACTAACCAATAGTTGTGTAATATATTGATTGCGAAAACTGTAAAATAACTGTATAATAAGTTGGTTAACAACATCTCTTCTTAATCTAAAATGCATTACAAATTCTTTTTCACTGTATTTAGAAATGACAGTTTCATAATTTTCTATGCAATGTCTATTATTATCACTTTCGTCTTCAAAAAACGAAGAAGAATCGAAAAGTATTTCCCGGCCGATAGATTTCTGATGAATCGAATGATGAAGACGAAGAACTCATAATCAATTTATATTTAAATAAAACATCATACATCGAAAAACAAATGTGTCGTGTTTTTTTTTTTTTACAGCGGTCTAAGTGGTCGCTTCAGAATCGTTTAGAGCATAATAAGTAGTTAATTTCCTGTTCTACGATCCACTTCCGGAGTTGGTTTATCTTATCCAAAGATACCCAGGTCTGCTCCGAGATAGACTCAGAATAGACAAAACGAACAATGCTTTTATAAACGTTGCGGCCATCTTGCTACCTTTTATCTATTTTCACATCTCTCGAGTATTCGATGTCGTCCGATGTATTCTGATATATTATATGAATTTAAAAAATATATTCTTTGCATAAATAAATAACATGATGAATTAAATAAAGTAATTAAATAAAGTGATATATAGCGGATTTTTTCACTTAAACTACATTAAATTAATGTGCATTAAAAATGAACAGTATATTTATATCGATACCAATACCTAGACATTGGAGGAGAAAAGAATGAAAAACCAATGTAACATGTAAAAAATGTAAATAAATACCAAGAGTACGAGTAAAGATTGTTTTCCCATTATCGACATCTCCCCTATATCTTGTACCGACCGATAGCAACACTCAGCATCGCGGTTCGCGATACTGCCGCGTACATTGATGATCGCGTAACATTGAAAGGAATCGCAAATGCGATATCTTGACGCATGTCGCGCGAGTTTCACGCGAGACTACCTGGCGTGAGAGTTGAGAGTTGAGAGTACCACGCAGTCCACACAGTACCGGGAAAGTCCGATAAACGTGTGGCCGGGGCAACCGCCGTCGCGGTGCAACACGATACGACACGGTACATACGACGCACGAGCGATACGTCGTTCATCGTTCGCTGTTTAACGCTCGAAATCATAAAGAGATTTGAGTTTCATTGGCGCATTGAGTTGGGACTAAGACAGAGTTGGGACTAAGGATGTCGCCGAGAAACGCCATTTTGTGATCGCGCTGTCTGGACGTAAACATCGAACTTTCCAATTGTATTCGACGCGGTGGGAAGATATCTCGCCGATTGATCCTCATCTCGGCGGCTCGTTCCCAGCCCGCCGGCATCGTTTATACATTTTCGCCAATCGTCGCGACACGACACCGCCCCATGTTCAGCTAATGCAGTGACGTTTCGCGCCAATTCCATCAAGACGCACACCTGGCGCACGCCACGCTACGAGAACAGCTGTCGTTGCGTCGTCGATTAGTGTTAGCGTCTCAGCGTCGGCGTCGGCATTTTCGCGCGATTTCAACGCATTCGCTGGTCAGGTAACCGGCATTGATGTCGTTAACGGCGCTCCAACGATTCAATTGCGAGCGATCGATGAGCAATTGTATCGTGTTTGGAGCCGAAACTGAAAGGCCAATGCGCCGTGCACCGATTTCATACGAGCGTTACGTATCTCATTGTTTACGCGTGTGACGCGTCATTTCGAAATGGCCACAAAATTTCGAGACGCCGAACAAATGTTTCATCGTCCTGCGCTCTATTATCTTTTCAGACAAAATCTTTTATTTTTATGTTTTATATTTACTTTAAGTTGCAAAATTATGCGCCTCTGTTTACTCTCTCGATTTGAGATCATTAAATGTTTAGACATATATCTGGCATAGAATGTGATGTTTGTTTTTAAAAAAGAGTGAAGAATTCCACCATGAAAAATTCCTGGCAGTTTATTTTTTTAAATGTTCTTGAAGTAGAATAATTTTTTTAAATATAAGATTGATTTATGATATTGTTTTTCAAATTTATTAGACTTTTTGTAGACAGTGAATATTTGAAGAATAATAGTTCAGTTTTCGCAGATATTTGCTACAACATAGCCAATAAATGTGCTGGACAAAATTTAACGATACCATTGATATTTCAGCTTAAGTCGTCTTTGATATTTGTTATCGACTAATGATATTTTTTTTCAGAGTTATATAATAGAGCAGATGCAAGCTTCAATTATCAATAAGTTGGACATTCAGGCAAAATGATTCTGGCGATTATTCATAAATGAATTTTCTATTGGTCAAAGTTTGAAGATATGCTTTTTATTATTGCAAAAAAGCTTGATGAGTAAACAAAAGTTTAAGGAATGGTATTCTATTCGATTCAGCTGGATGTTAGATAAGCTGAAAAATGTCTGGTGATTCAGGATGGAACGCCGTTATTCATCATCCTTCAGATTTGGAATTACAGAATTGGAATTGGGAAGAAAACGATGGAGAGCAAGAGAAAGAGCTCCCTTCAACCGTTGATATGGATGCAATAAAAGGTGGTGGTAGTTGGGATCCTGCTACTGAACCTAATGGTATTTGCAAAATTTACTTTGTCAGACATAACTTTCACAACTTTTAAACTGTCTTTGAAATAAATTTTTTTAATTTCAGGGACAGATTCGGTTGATTCCGAAGAAGATTCTGATTCTGACGACGAAAGCTCTGGTGGAAGCGAAGGCTCTTGCTCTTATTCGGATTCTAATTCAGAGTCAGACGACGAAAGTAGCGGCGACGAAGAGGAAGATAGTGGATCCAATTCGGACTGTTCGTCTGAACATAGCGAGCAAACATTTTCCATTCAAGAAACTAACTTTGAACAAGTATATTGAAAGACAACACTTCATTCCATACTCGTTATTTTTCAGATATTCAAATATTAAATGATCTATTTTTCGCAAAAATATATTACAAAAATATTACATTGCACATACATATCATTAGTAATATTGGCTTTTATTTAACATTTGTTTCTCGCTTATTGCTATTTTTCGTCCTATTATTGTGTATCTTGTAAAAAGATATTTTCCTTTTGTTGCAGGGAGCACTGAAATTAAAAATCACTATGAAAGGTCCTAAAAAAGAAGACTCTGAAAAAATTAAATGTGAAAAGAATAAAAGAACTGTTACAAAAAAGGTCAAGAACAATCAAGAAAATAAGGTAATTGTGCGACAAAAATTTTAAAAATTTATGAGAAAAAGAGATTATTAGAGATTATTTAACGAAGGCTTATTTACAGTTTGCGCGAGAATAGCATCAATCAAATCAATATGAGAATTAGCAATGCTAACATTTGAATTTTCACTCTAATCCAATTTTGTTTTATAACAAAATATGTATTATTATGTAGTAAATCATACAAACTGATCTAGTCCTCAGAATGTAGTAGTGAAGATTCAGACTCGTCTGTGGGCAACGCGGCGTCACAACAACCACAACAACAACAGTCGCAACAGCATCAACATCACCATCACGTGCCGACACAAGAAATCAACCAGGAACATCACGCGACTACATTGCCTACCTCGCAAGAGCAGGAGGATCCGCCGTTCGATGGATTTGAGGATTCGGAGAGCGGTCGGCTGGTGTCAAAGGCGATCGAACGCATGTCGCTCGGCGCAGACTCGGACACGAGCGAGAACGGCGATCAGAATCCCGTACCTGTATATAGCTCCACTCTGTTGCAACAGTTTGTTGAAAAGACTGCTATGTTGTCAGAGCCACGAAAAAGGCGCAGCAAATGTGGTAAAAAATTGAACAATGATAATGAGTATCCATGCGTGTCAAACGTATCGCCCGATTCCGGCATCCAATCGGTGGACAATAGTCCGTTACATCTGGCTATCAGTCCCGTCAGTCCTCCAGCGCCGACCCAATCTCCAGTCCAACCGCCGATCGTTACTAAACCGGCAGTGAATGTCGATCGGGTTCTGTATCCTCCGAAGAGAAAACCTGGTAGGCCAGCAAAGACAGTGTCTACGCAACCACGTGGACCCGGTAGGCCGCGTTTAAAACCGGAAATTGTTGAGAAAATTCAAAAGATCGAAAAAGCGGAAAAAGAAAGAAAGGAATCTTTAAAAAATTTAAATAATCCCGATTCTCGATTATCGGAAAAGAGAGAAACTGTCGGAAAGGAATCGATCGTAAAGGGAGCGAAAGAAGACACATTTCCACTTAGGAAACGAGGTAATGCAAAATCCGTTGCATCGAAAGAAGTGAAAGACGATGCGAGACGGTCTCCTGCAAACAAAAGAACGAAAGGTAAACCGATGGTATATCAAAAGACACGTTATACCGCAGTGAAATCTTCGCAGGAAAAGACAAGCGTGGTCAAGAGGACGACGGGAACAAGTTCGTCGATGCGAGTAAAGTGCCTAAACAGATCCACCGCAAACAAACTTGTGCCACGGTGCGACGGTAGATCCTGTCGAAAAGTCAGGCACGACAGAACATGCGTGTCTAACAAGACCACAGTTCCCTTGACGCGACAGAAGCAGATGTCGTGCGAGCATCAGGTATCTAACGATCAAAAGATGTTGAGCATTGGTAAGAGAACAGGTTCGAAAGAGAACAGAAATAATGCGACCGCTGTTGCACCTAGAAGGCAGAATTTAGTGAAAAAGATCGCGCCTCCAATCACTAGGCGAGTTCTAAAGGAAAACAAGTGCAACAAAAAATTACCACAGCAGGCTTTGAGACAAGTGGTGTGGGCGTACAGACATTAATATCACTACCAGTCGGCGATATATTAAAGACAGAAAATGTGGAGCGTACATCCAATAAGTGCGACAAACTGGTGCAGCCAATACAGCATAATTCTTGTCACAAGCAGCATCATCATCATCATCATCATCATCATCACCATCATCATCACAAACATCGTCGGAGATTGCTCGCGCCACCAAAAAATCCCATTCGCATCGATCCATGTATTATCCAGGAGCTGGAAAAGCTGATCGAGGAGTTTGAGAAGTTGTGCAGTTTGGGCAAGAACAACACCTGCGCCAATCACTCCGAGCTACCGCAAATCTTTCGTGTTAAGAAGCTTACGAAAAAGAGGAAAGGTGGCGACGTCGGTGCGAATGACGATCAGAAATTAAAGCGACGATTGAAAAAGAAAAATATTGACGGGCACAGATTCCAAGAGCAGTGCAAACACTAGTACGAGTTCCAATCCGAATGAACAGCGGCTGCCATTGAAGAAACGTCATTACCACGTTTCGAGTCCGCATAGTTCGCAAAGCTCGAACGCGAGTTGCGCGGATGTGACAGCGAACGAGTCCAATTCCACGGAAAGCCATATAGAGGAAGCGATCGAGGCTACTATTACGAGATATGGTGGCGGCAGCTCGACATCCTCCATTCACGACGAGGAGACTATGCCGGTTACTCCTAAGAAAAGGCCAAGGGATGTTGAAATCGCAGCATCCGAAAAACAGGGTAGTGATGAAGATAAATCAACCAACCAAGTGGAAATTCAACCACGCCGAAAGAAAAAGATTGTTAAGGATCTTCGTGTTACTGTCACAAAATTGTCCTCTGAAGGTCACAACTTTCTCGACAAGAATGATAAAGAAAAATCGACGGACAAGAGTTCCAAAATTGCCACAGAAAAACCTGGCAAATCGGAAAAGACTATGATGTCGGATAAATCGATCAAGACCGATAAAACGCAATTAAGCGACAAGATTGACGTCGAACACATTCGCACGGAAAAGAATATTAAAGTTGATTCGGAAACGAACGTGTCTGAGACGTTTGATGACGGTGAGACTGTGACCGAGAGTAAGAAATCTCCGATCAATAACTCAAACGTGCCAAATCTCATGAATAATACAGCGATGATTCTCACAAAGAAAAAGATACGAAGACGGAAAGCCATCAATCGTACAGGTTTTCCGACTTTGAAGAAGAAGAAGAAAAAGATTGTAGATTCTTCTAGAGTGATCAAATCAGCGCTATTGGGTAACACTGATGGAACGTGTAAAGATCAGGACACAGTCGAAGATGCGGAAGATAATAAAGCATCTTTGATAGAAAATAAAGTTCAGGACAATGTTGTAATAGAAAACAACGATAGTGTGGAACATGCTAAAAATGATGTGAAAAATGTAGACAATTCTAGTACAGTGCAAGAGACATCTAGCCGAAGTGGTTCGGATGAAATAATCGAGTCTTGTACCGGTCAATTGCGAGTCCGTAAGGATCTCGTGGAATCCGACAGCAGTATACTGTCTGAAAAACTTTATCCGAGTCCGGTCAAGTACGAGAAAATACCGGACTGTCGGATCTACGACGAGAATGCATCGCTGGAAGAATCTCTCGAACGTTACAATCAAAATCAACGTATCGCAGAACTAAACGAAGAGAATTTGAGAAAATTGGAACGCGCGAACGCTCAAGCAGCGAATGTCAAGCTGGAATTATCTAGTTGCTTTAACAATAATCACAAGAAAAGAAGGGGTTCGACCAGTCCTTCTAATCTGTATGGAAGAAGCACGAAGAGACTAAGGAGCGCGGGTTACGATACGGAGAGCGAGGCACCGCCCAGCAGTGATGTGGCCAGCGAGGATCAAGAGGTCAGCAGGAAACCCATAGGTCCTGTTCATAATCGGAAAAAACAATCGAGGTGGAGGAAGCGATACTTGCAAGCTAGCAGCATATTATCCGAGTTCAAAAAACTCGAATCTAAAAAACTCACTGGTATCGATACCAAACAAAAAATTATCGTTTGTCCCAATTCAGAAGAGCATTACGCTACAGAACAATTACCGACCATTATATCGACTGGGAAACTCTTGCGACAGAGAAAAACGTCATTTCAATTGCAATACGATTTATTATGGCTTCATGCTCAATCGAGACACTTTGATCGAAATATGGTACCATCATGGAATTACAAGTAAGTGAAATGTTTAAAATAAAATTTCTATTTATAATTCTAGTTAAAATAATTGTTATACATTTTTTACGTTACAAGTTTGTAACTAAATATCAAGCGCATATATAAATATTATAAATAATAATACAAATTATATGTAATAATTGGATATTAATGATGTGCGATGATTTTTTTTTCTTTTTTTCAGGAAAATTCGAACGAACATTTATTACGATGTTAAACCGACTACTCTATACGAGGCGCAAGCCTGTGAATGCAAACCAGAAAGTGGTTGCGGAGATGATTGTATTAATCGAATGGTATTTAGTGAATGTTCGCCACAACTGTGTCCTTGTGGTGAAAAGTGTGAGAATCAAAAGATTCAAAAGCACGAGTGGTCGCCAGGGTTACTGAGGTTTATGACGGAGAATAAAGGATGGGGAGTAAAAACGCAACAAGCTATCAAATCCGGGGATTTTATTCTTGAGTACGTGGGTGAAGTTGTATCAGAAAGAGAGTTCAAATCGAGGATGGCAACCAGGTATAGTATATAGTTTGTCCTATGGTTTCCACTAGATATTAAATTGTTTAAAATTTTTTTCATTTTTATCGTGAAATTTGAAAAAAATATGAGGAAAAATATATAAAGATGAAAAAATTAAATGTATATTAAATATACGATATAGATATGCCAATGATACGCATCACTATTGTTTGCATTTGGATGGTGGTTTGGTAATCGATGGTCATCGTATGGGAGGTGACGGGAGGTTCGTAAATCATTCGTGCGAACCCAATTGTGAGATGCAGAAATGGAGTGTCTTGGGCCTACCACGTATGGCATTATTTGCATCAAGAGATATTAAGCCGGGGGAAGAGTTAACATATGATTACAATTTTGCGCTTTTCAATCCATCGGAAGGACAGCAATGTAGATGTGGTAGTAGTGTCTGTAGAGGTGTTATAGGTAAATTGATAAATCTGACTGAATTGTCTTAATAGAGAGTGTGTTTGAATAGGATGTGTGTCAGCTATTTTAGTTATAAACTTTCTGTATAACAGGTGGAAAGAGTCAAAGGGTAGCTCGGACCATTCCTCCTCTACCATCGCAAATGGAACCTATTGAGAGAAGATCAGTAGGCAGACCGCGAAAGAACATTCGTAAATCGAATGCAGTGCAATCAACCAACTCCAAGAACATTTGCAAGTCTCGCAAAGTGGGAGATCCAACTTTGACACACAATACGCCACAATTGAAACCGATGTCTTATCAACAGCGATGCTTCGCGCGTGAACATCATTGTTTCCTATTGAGGAATCTAGAGAAAGTGCGACGATTGAAATCAGCATCGGTGCAGCAAATTCAAGTACAGAATGGCAAAACAAAATCTAGTAACGCGAATATGACAAAGGAAAAGAATTTAGGTGACTCTAAGGCGCAATCTGATGCATTTTTCTCCCAATTAACTGCATTGACAAACATCAATGCGCGTACTGTACGAACACGTAGACTTGCGCAAGCACAGGATGACCCGGAGGTACATAAGACTGCAAAACTAGCTAAGGTCAGAAAATAATTTATATATTTTAAAGAAATAATTATGAAAAATAATATATTGTAGATTAAAACAATGTCATCATTTTGTAATATTTTATTTTCTACAGGTATTAAAAGATTTATATACAACTGTCATAAAAGCTAGTGATGAAAATGATCAGTTATTATGCATGCCTTTTATGACTTTACCTTCCAAAAAAAAGTTCTCTGATTATTATGAGAAAATCACAGAACCCATCGATCTGATAACAATAGAACAGTGTATTGGTACTGGTCATTACAAAACTGCGGAACAGTTTGATCAAGATATGATAAGGCTCTTTGACAACAACGTGAGATTCTTTGGTAGAACGTCCGAAATAGGAATCGCCGCGGCGAGATTACGGAAATTATATTTGGGATTCAAACCTGATTTTGTGGACGCTATAACAGAAGCAACAGGTTCTCCTCCATCTCAAGGTTTTTTACCACCTCGTGGATCTACGGCTGGAGAGGAAGATGTAATCAGATGTATTTGCGGACTACACAGGGGTAAACTAACCGCTTATCAAATGTCGATCCAACGTGTGTATATATATATATATATATATAATTATAATTATTGAAAGACAAAAATAAAATTAGTAAAAACTATAAATAAATTAATTTAGATATGTAGATGTAGTATAATAGATATTTTTATCAAGAAAATCCATTTTTTTCTTATTGATCACACATCTATCATACAGAGACGAAGGTTTGATGATTCAGTGCGAACGTTGTCTCGTTTGGCAACATTGTGACTGTGTTAAGGCAGATACGAGCGCTGAATCTTATCTTTGTGAAAGATGTCAACCTCGTGAGGTTGATTTGGAAATTCCACTAGAAGGCGAGGAGGAGGAAGAAGGCAAGAAACATTATGTAACATTGATGCGAGGCGATCTACAACTTCGGCAAGGGGACACAGTCTACGTTTTAAGAGACACGCCTGATAAACACACATACAAAACTATACAGAAGCCCGATTATGAGCAAATGGATATTTTCAGAATCGAACGTCTATGGAAAAACAATGAGTAAGCAATTGTTTTATGTTGATAAAACATTGAGGTCTCGTATATCCATTTAAAAAGATAGAATTATAGGTTTCAAAATTAAATTATTTGTTTAATAGGGGCGAGAGATTTGTATTTGGACATCATTATCTTAGGCCTCACGAAACGTATCACGAGCCAACGCGAAAGTTTTATATAAACGAAGTTGTGTGTGCTCCGTTGTACGAAGCAGTACCTTGTGATCTTGTAGCCGAGCGATGTTGGGTATTAGATCCTCATACTTTCTGTAAAGGTATAAATTAGCATTCTATCGATTGTATCAATGTAAATATTATTGTCCAACTTGTAATTTTGTATCCTTTTGATTTAAGGACGTCCCGTCGGTTCTACTCCCGAACATACTTACGTATGTGAATATCGTGTTGATCGTGCAGCAAGACTTTTTACAAAGGTGGCTAGAGCCAGGCATGCGGTATGCACGAAACCTTATGCATTTGAAACTTTTCCTCAACGTATAAAACATTATCGCACCTATTTGGTAAGTACATCTTACTGTCTATCGAGAAATGTTTTTTATATTAATATGTAGAATATCTTGAATACAATATTTTATTTTCAGCCTCATAGTCTCGACGGAATCAAGATGTCTAAAGACAAGAAGAAAAATAACAATCAAGAAGATGGGAACCAAAAATTGGAGTCTAACGATAATATAAAAACACATAACAAAGAACATAAATATGGTAATAGAACCAGACGAAAATTAGGCGAAATCTTAACAGTTACACCATCTGTAACATTGTATGCTCAGGTAATTATTGTGAAAGTTTATTACTTGTTATATGATTATTTGTAAATGATTGTCATTCGCAGCGAGAGGAACAGAAGAAAAGATTAAACGGCATTCTACTAAATCTACTGCAAAGAATGCCGAATAAGAAAGATCCATTAGATCTATCCTTTCTTCTAGAAAGAAACAGACGAAATCGGAAAAGACCTGGTGGACTCAATCCGTGACAATGGGTAACATCACGATAATATCATATTGTACATATAGGCTAATTTCAATCTTAGATTAATAGGCTAGCTGATTCCAATCGTTCTAAACTTGACTCTCTACCATGTGAATCAAGATAATTGTACATTTACCTTTTCCCTTTCTTCCCTCTCTTCACTCTTAACGAGAAAAGCGTGAGAAACAGTTTTCCTCTTCGTACAACCCGTCCATTGGTGTAATTAATATATCTATATAGTACAGTTAAAGTAACATTTAACATAAATACATTATTATTGATCGATATTTTTTTATATATTTTTTTTTGCATAGATATTGTATCACAACTAGATTTTAATGCATATTTTTTGTTTATTTGCAACTTTTTAATTACCCGCATTAAAATAAGCATCTTTGATTTATGATAGCTCCAGGAACATGTCATAAGCAATCAATAGATACTTATTAATGGAAACTAAGTAGAGTATGCTCATTTTATCATGATTAGAATATTTAATAGAGGAAAATTAAGAGAGTAATTGATTTTTCCCAGAACTGGGTTTCCTCTCGCACTGATATAACTGCAAAGTGCGGTACTTGTATAGAAAATCTTTTGTATATTTTTTTTTCATAAATAATATAGTTAAATGTACAGATTATATGTTTTCTGGGGTCAAAAAAGCTTAAGCGTCATGTCAGTGCGAGAGGAAAAAATCAATACTCAAAATCATATAATATTATGAATAATGAGCGTGTATTCATATATGTAATGCTTTATTGCACAGAAGTAATATTATATTTTTCATAATCCCTCGATATTATATTTAAATGACGTGTAACATATTTTCTTCACTTTATAAAAAAATCTTTACTATTGTATTTAATTTATTAATATATATTGAATAGTCGAACGCGATCGGATAGGTCGCAGTGATTCCAAAATTGTATATATGTGTACTCAGGACTCTATATTTATTATTGCATTACACAGTATGATAGATACATGTGAGGACAATTATGTTTGATACAAAGTTACTTTTTCTTTCCATACTCTAAACTATTATTCATATACAATATCTACTTTCATAAAATTTACTA